CTGCACCTGTGCTTCCTAATCCACCTGCTGGGGATCCGCCAAGTGGGGCTGCGGGAGACCTCCCTTCTCGTGGTGTTGCCAGTGAGCGACAGGGTAGACTCCCGTGCGAACAGCAGCACTGGCAAGTTTATCACTCGTCTCTTTGCAGGGGCTCGCGCTTACTGCTGTGTTGGAGACACTGCTGGGATGCCTGCATCCTCTGCCAAAGCGTCCGAGTTCAAGTCCCGGCTCCACTTCCCATTCCAGCTTCCTGCTGACGTACACCCAGGAGACAGCAGGTGGCGGCTCAGTGGTACTGTCCCTGCCACCTCCCTGGGAGGCCCAGATTGAGTTCTGGCTCCCAGGTTCAGTGCAGCTGAGCTGTAACCTTTGGAGATATTTGGGTGCATAGCCAGCAGATAGGAGCTCTATGTGTTCATCTCTTGCTCCAGTAGAAACAATAAAAAAAATGGCTTCTTTCCATAGCAACAGCGCCCTCGCAGGTGGAGAGATGCAGAAGAAAGCGAGAATTTCCCTGAGAGAGGTGACAGATCCAAGAAGAGATTCAGAGAATGAAGCTGGGGGTGGTAGTCAGGACGGCGGGGAGCTGGGACAGGTTGCACTGAGCCCTTTTAGTCACCCAATACTCACTCGAGGCTTATGTTGGTTAAAGCCAATGGCTTCTGGTGACCCAGGGAGGCAGGGCTGGTTACCAAGGGCTGCAGCCTGAGCGTGCATCTCGGACGATATCCACTCAAGGCTGTTCAGCGTCACGGAGTGGAAGGACACGGGGAGCTGGACCCCACGAGGTCCGTGATGCAGTATGGACACATCAACAAGTTCCAGGGGCAGCTTCCCGCTTCCGACTGGTGGGGTGGCGGGTTCCTCTGCCTCCTGGGGAACCAGGACCAGCCCTCCAGCGATGGAGCCCCCGGGGGGAACCCCAGCATTGGCCGAGTCCACCGGCCCTGCTCACATCTGCATCTTGCTGCCTTGGTCACTGGCTTTGGAACCTTCCGTGGAAACGGATCCACAGCCTCCTGGTGCTTGCTGGCAAGGACAGCAGTGAACAGTGCGATGATGGCACCGGAAGCCCTCGGGGCCCTGCGGCGGGCTGCAGGGGGCTGATCCCCAAACGCATGGTGCTCTTCGTGCCCAGGGGTTCTCACAGATGAGGTGAGGGAGGGCCAGAAGTAGCAAAGGACCTGTCGGGCCACCAGACCCATGAAGAGACAGGCTGAGCTCCAGTCCCAGGCTGCTGGGTGCTGCCGCCTCCTCCCGCTGCTCCCTGGACCTGACAGCATGCAGAGACTCCCGGATTTGCACACATCGGGGTACC